AGATAAATTAAAAAAACGTATTGCACCATTATGTTCTCTTTTTTGTCCCTGAGTGTACTGCATGCTCTCATGGAGGTATGAGAAAGAGTGGAGAAGTTCATCATAAGAGCTTGGGCTGCAGAGTTGTTTGTCTGTGATTATTATTATCTGGAAGTATCTGAAACATCACCATATCTATTTGGACATCGGGTTCATTGCTCCCAGAGCACAAGCGCTGTTGCTGGTTTATAATCTGACCAGCCATTAGCTCTGGTGAGTTCATTTAATCTCCTTTGGTGGTGGATTTTTCACAATTGGTTCAAGTCACTGAAGATATATATATATTTTTTGGACACTAATTTATGTTTGGACACTATAATTATTTATTTAAAACACTAATGTTTTTTGGATGATGATATACACTTTTGTATAAGTTTGTTATTAGCGCATACCTTTTAATTCGGATTATTGTTGCCAAAATTTATTTTGGGTGGGATATGCTGCTGACATTTTGGTGTTTTTTGTAAGTGGCGCTTTTTTTCTTTTTTAATTTGGTACAGGTTAATGCATGCCTATGCCTGTAATCTGAAAACCAACATTTCTTGGTGCTGGTGCACATGAGAACTAAACAGTAATAGGATCTGAAGCAGACACAATCAGTTAGAATATTTACAGATAGGAGTTCATTTATGCAACTGGAAGATGTTTTTCTATTACATTAGCATTCCCACATTTGTGATGCAACACCAAGCGGGTGGCAAAGCATGCACTAGACGCTGTGTGACCCAGAACAACAAGTCAGCTTGTCCCTTTAGTGAATAGGGACAGTCTAGTGTCATTACTAGGCAAGACAAACAACACAGGCAGAATAAACACACTAATACCTAGCTATAAGGAACAAAAACATTTTAAAGTGTACAATGCTTTAGACTGTCCAGCAGTCAAATCTTTATGTTGTTAAACAGTCAAGGCTGCCACTAGCATCTAACACTTCCATGAGTATTAGATCCCAGGGCTCCACCACATGCTGTGGTTCCATTTGCTGACTGCTATGTTATGGCTATGTCCTTGGTGATGTAGCAGTTGGCAGGTGAAACTGTACCAAGCAGCAGAGGAGCAACCAGGAATAGCTGCATACAAGCAGCAGCACTACAATCAAGAACAGACTAGAATTGCCACTGAATGGATAAGTAAGAAAAGTTCATCTTCTTTTTCTTAATTTTCTGAGCCAGTACCACAGAGCATGTACCAGTCTCCATCAACTCAGCAGTCCTGTCACCTCACTCTCAATTATATGTCTGACCGTTGCTACTGGATACAGGAAACATCACAGATGTACTACTCTATCCTTGTTCTCTCTCTTCAGGGCCCTATGCATCTCTCTCTCTCTCTCTCGACTCTAAGCTAGATTCCTAGGCACTCTGTACTGCAAGGATGATGGGAAACCGGTTGCTAGTGAAGGGGCCAAGCATAACACCTCTTCACTACCAGAGTGTCCATCACCCTTTTATGTCACCCATTCCCTGACCTGACAGGTTGGCTTATTTTGAAAGTGACACAATACCCTAGCAACAGCATTATAGCCTCCACTAGACAGAATCCTATATGCTGGAATCTCTTTATTGTATCTTCTCTAACCTTCTAGTCCCCTGATCTAAGCCCTTTTCTTTGATACGCCATACATGCACCTCTTTAGAGAGACTTTAGAACAGGCAGATTAAAGGAGCAACAAAAGATCTTTACTGAAGTAGTTAAGGATAACAAAGGAGCAGTTATCAAATGACATCTTTACACACATTCCTGCACAGAGTTCTCAGTGCCCATGAGGTAGTCAAACCTGATTTAGCAGCAAGGTTCCTAAAGTATTCCTTCACAAGGCAACTGTTTAGGAAGTAAATCCACAAAAGGTAGTAAGCAATCTTTTAGAGTCCATGATCTGATGATAATCCATAAAAGGCAGTAAGTTCGTGACTGGTAGCTATAAGTCCATAAAAGTCCTCAGGTTTCAAACTCAGCAGGGAACCCCAACTTGGCCCCCCAGATGGGGACCCAGTCTGACAGAGTAACAGCTTCAACTTGTACGACAGAACTCTCCACCTCCTGGGGCACACATGAGCCCATATGATATGACCAACATAACATGGCAATTAAGGGCAAATGTTGCAAAAAGGTACCTTGTGACATTTAGTCTGTATTGTATGATACAGTGCTATTCATTCTAAATTGCTGTGTAGTGCCAAAAATCCTACTTGCACCTTTTTTAGTGCAATAGTTATTTGAACAGACTGTGCTAACACAAGCACTGTTCAGTGCAGCACCATTTTGGCAGTGCCAAAACGAATGAACTCCAGTATGTGTAGGAGTGATATCACTTCAGTTTAGCCAATTAAAATGGCCAAAGATTAGGAACCAGAAGAAGACCAGCTGAAAATGTCAGAGGCTGGCATGGGATCTCTGGTACACCAAAGCACTGGAGTGAAGGTGAGTATCATTTTTCTTAAAGGTGATAAAACTGTGTCTGCATGCAAGGCATAGAAAGGTAATAATGTCACACCTATACAGAAAGTGTCAGGGTGATCATTGCACAGCCCTGGGCTGGACAAGGTAGGAATTTTGCATTTACAAATTAGGAGGATTCAGGGATGGGTGAGTAGGTAAGTTCACTCTCAAAAGTGAATGCATGCTTTAATACAGTGGCTGCATGTAAAATTATAACAGCTTCTGAGTAATGGGTAGTGGGGTATTTTTGGATCAGACTGATTGCATGGTAAATCTGTCAGATAATATTACATTGCTTCCCTCTTCTACACTGCACCAGTCTGTGCTTTGGTTCAAAAACCTACCAAAAAGTTGTACAGCAAAATATTTGCAACAAGCTCTGAACACAATGATAGTAAGAGCTCTGCCCAACAAGCTCACAGTCTAGAACAGCCTTTTTAACCAGAGTACCCAGACACCCTGGGATGCCTTCAAGTTTCTTCAGGGATGCCATGGCAAAATGCCTAAACAATTCCCAAAAATTCTATACAAGCCAGTGGGTGTATCAGGCCTGCTTTTCAGGTGCACAAAGCCACAGGTTTTCATGTTCTAACAACCAATGACACTATCAATTGATATGGAGGAAGTTGGGCCCCTGCACAGCATTCAGGTTTGCTCATCTCCTGCCCCATCTCCATTAGCTCTTGGGTAACATTAGCTGAGTGAGGGACAGAAACTGACGGAAAAGAGAAATATTGGAATACCAGTCAGTACCAGTGTGCAAAGGCGTATTTGCTTTGTAACAATATATCACCTCTAATGTTGGAAGCCCTATGTGTGTGGATTCTGCTGTAGTATGTAACACTACTATTTTTGTTTTTACATTTTAGAATAGGGTGCCTCGAGATTGGTAAGAATTTTAAAGGGTGCCTTGATTGAAAAATATTTGAGAAACAGTGGTCTAGAAAATATAGGGCTGGGAAAAAGCCAGAAATATTCAACAATTTACTTTAGGTCACATACAATTTAATGTATTATCTTCACCTTGAAATTGGTTCACACTGTGAAAAATCACCAGGCATTAAGCAGATATTAATAGAGAGTATGAAAAATGACCCTGTCGCAGCACACCCACAGTATTCGCTATTCTCCTGAAAGTTTCTCTGCCAAGAAAAACTTTATTTTAAAACATATTTATGGTCAAATTTTAAAATTATAGTATGCATTTCCTTATTGTGTTTCAATTATCTCTAACCTACTTCTAATAATTTAAACAATCTTGAAGATTGTAGACTTACTTTGTGAAGATCCTCACACACTTTCTGGAACTCTGTGAAACATATTCACTATGCCCTGTGAGTAGGCACACATTTCACAGAGCCTGCCTTCTGATCTACAAAAATGCTGAGAGGAGGAGTTTGCAGAAGTGGAGTCAGTAAATTGCAAGCAGTAAAGTACCATACAGATTTGACAACCTCCTGAAGTGAAATTTACTGAAACAACACTGAAAATTTACTGACAAAACCATTTTTTTATTGACACAACACATAAAATTTACAGACAGAGCCACATTTTTACTGACAGTTTAAAAAAAGTAGCCAAAATGACCATTTTCAGTGCAAATATCAACATTTAGGCTACAGACATGTAGCTAGTGCGCTTAGAGGTATGACAAAAGGCAAAAAACATATTTCTCTATTTATATGAAGGTGAGGATAATATCCTAGCAGTTTTGTCACCTGTGTCCAACTGGAGAGATTCCCCTTCAATTTGAGTTTCATAGAACCACAGAAATTAAGGGGAAATCCCAGGTATCCAACAAGATGACCAGAATAGAGGTCCCCTGTTCTGTTCTGGATTTACTCTTAATTTTGGTGATAATGGTAAACAGGTGAAATAGAGGGTGAATCTCCCCAACTGGAGCACATCAGTAAAAGGTGACATTTCAATTACCAGCTGCCAAAAAGATGGTAATGTGCTGTTAAAATAACAAGTGCCTAGCAGCTGTGCTCAGTGGAACAGGTACCATATTTTTCGCTCCTTAAGACGCACCTAGATTTTAGAGGAAAACAAGAAAAAATATATTCTGAACAAGGAGATGACCATAGACTGCAGACATAGTACAGCAAATGACCAGAGACTGCAGACATAGTACAGCAAATGACCAGAGACTGCAGACATAGTAAAGGAGATGACCAGAGACTGCGGACATAGTACAGGAAATGCCCAGAGACTGTGGACATAGTACAGGAGATGACCAGAGACTGCGGACATAGTACAGGAGATGACCAGAGACTGTGGACATAGTACAGGAGATAACCAGAGACTGCAGACATAGTACAGGAGATGACCAGAGACTGCGGACATAGTACAGGAGATGACCAGAGACTGTGGACATACTATAGGAGATGACCAGAGACTGCAGTCATAGTACAAGGGATGAGCAGAGACTGTGGACATACTACAGGAGATGACCAGGGACTGAGGATATACTACAGGAGATGACCAAAGACTGCGGACATAGTACAGGAGATGACCAGAGACTGCGGACATAGTACAGGAGATAACCAGAGACTGCGGACATAGTACAGGAGATGACCAGAGACTGCGGACATATAACAGGAGATGACCAGAGACTGCGGACATAGTACAGGAGATGACCAGAGACTGCGGACATAGTACAGGAGATGACCAGAGACTGCGGACATACTACAGGAGGTGACCAGAGACTGTGGACATAGTACAGGAGATGACCAGAGACTGCGGACATAGTACAGGAGATGACCAGAGACTGCGGACATAGTACAAGAGATGACCAGAGATTGTGGACATAGTACAGGAGATGACCAGAGACTGCAGACACACTGCACTAGATAACCAGAGACTGTGGACATAGTACAGGAAATGACCAGAGACTGCGGACAGTACAGGAGATGACCAGAGACTGCGGACATAGCATAGGAGATGACCAGAGACTGCGGACATAGTACAGGAGATGACCAGAGACTGCGGACATACTACAGGAGATGACCAGAGACTGCGGACATACTACAGGAGATGACCAGAGACTGCGGACATACTACAGGAGATGACCAGAGACTGTGGATATAGTACAGGAGACGACCAGAGACTGCGGACATAGTAAAGGAGATAACCAGAGACTGCAGACCTTTGGGGTGCGGGTACCTGAATTTGACAGGTACACGCTCCCACTTCTGCAGAGTTTTCCTCCCTCCCTGTCTTCTGGGACACGTGACAGGTCCCAGTAGACTGCTGGACCATTCACAAAGCGCTTCTAATGCATGCGCAGTGGGCACCCGGCTGTGAAGCCGTAAGCTGTCACAGCCAGGTGCCCACACTGAAGATGCCGGCACCAGGGAGAGAACACAGTGAGGACACCACTGGACCGAGGAACAGGTAGAACTGAGGAGCAGGTTCTGCTGCACAGAAGAGCTGAGCGGTCAGCCCGATATTCTAACACGGCGGCGGCAATATCGGGGTTGGCCGCTCCATAAGATGCACAGACATTTCCCCCCGTTTTTTGGGGGAAAAAGTGCATCTTATGGAGTGAAAAACTAACACGGCAGCGGAAGGAATACCGGGCTGGCCGCTCCATATTCGCTCCATAAGACGCACAGACATTTTCCCCCATTTTTTTTGGGGAAAAAGTGCATCTTATGGATCAAAAAAACATGGTATATGCATGTGAAGGTTTCCCCTCACTCCCTGTTCCACTGACAACTGCAATTTTTTTGTAAATTGGTCACTTTCTGCTACTATGACAATAGGCAAATAGGGAAAGTGTGATCCTCCCATTACATGACAGCTTCCCATCCAACCTGAAGCAAAATTAGCCTTTGTAGGCAAAAGACACATAGAAAAACACATAGGCTTGGGCTGGCCATATACAATATTTTCATATATCAAACAGTAATTTTCTGTGTTTATAACTACTGTATATTAAGTGCTATTACAGTAGAAACATTATATATATTTTTTTTTTAAATGATTTGATTCCTTCTCCTCCAGTTATGACTGTATTCCTATAGTACCACATTATCTTTGTCCTTATACACATTACCAGCAGCAGCAAAAACACTCAGTGGCTTATGTTTAGGCTTTTTGGCAGGGTGAGGTCATGCCACTGTGTAAAATGGCAGTCTAGACCAGATTTTGCAGAAAACAGACACACTAGTGGTGCAGGTGTGTGCTGCGTTCATATTAGAGCCAGGATTAGAGTTCAGGGCTCCATCGTCCTGGGGGTCAGTATGTGTTGGGAGCAGAGAGAGGTGCATGTCTGCACAGTTGCTGTCCAGGACAAGGCCTGAACCTTTGAGAAACGGAGCAGCAGGGAAATGCAGAAAAGACAAGAAACTCACAGAGGTACAGAGTTTGTGCATGAGCACTGGGAAGTGTGCTAGATGATATGGAGTAGACTGCATACTATTTTGTTGCTTTGATGGTGGAAACCCCTGTGTAGGCAACTGATGTCTTGTATTGAACTTTTCTCTATCATTTTAAATATAAGTGGGCAGGAAAATCCCTGAAAAGACACTTCTGTTGTGGAGTAAACTCACTGTTTTGCACTACCAATGAGCTACAAAACCCCAACTTTTCACAGCTTGGGTAAAGTTTCTAACTTGTGGTCATACATTGTGGTATCAACATGTTCAAGCATTTGCTGGGTAATTCTTCCTCACCAATGTTTGCTGACAGCAGTCTTTCCTACATTGGAGTGGAAAACTTGTTCCTAAGATCTGTTTCCATTAACTTCACAGATGAAAACACACATTCTACTTCAGCTGTCCCATGGGAAAGAGAAAGCATAGTTTTTGCAAATTTACCAGATATGGGAATTTAGGTACTTTCAGATTGCTCTGAAGGACAATACAGCTATGTCCTAACATGTGCCAATAAGAAACATATGTGTCAGTTTCAGCAACATCAGTGAAGTGAATTCTGTCACTTGGTATTCAATAAGTTCAGAATGCAGTGCATCAAAATCAGATGGAGGAACAATTTTTGGAAAATGCTTTGCATGTTCAATAATATCCCCAGAATTAGCAGTAGACCCGTTTGAAGGTTTTAGTAATGGCAACAACTGAATGATTCTATTTGCAATGTGCATCTGTTTTTTAATGGCAGTTACTTCTCTTGTGTAAAATGTTGTTGCTTGGACCAAGAACAGTTGATCAGGTGACAAATCAACTGCTGTAGACAGAGGTTCCCTTTTCGGTTTTGAGAAAAATGCTGTCTGTTGATTTGGAGTTTGCACTATTAGTGTGGTCAAATGAAATCAGTGCGTCATTTTCAACTGGTAAAGTGGCCCATAAGACTTTTAAGCAGGTGGCAGTACTTTAAGTACAAGTCAGGTAACTTAGAATTGCTCAGGAACATTTGGCTGAATTGGGTGAAATCTTGCAGAACGGCTTGAAGAAACAGAAAGTAACACTTAGTAATAGGATACTGTAGCAAGACACTCATTCTAATTTCACAAAACAGCACTCAATAAACTCTTAGCAGTTCAAGCACTCTTTGCTTCGTAACTGTGGACAGAATAAGTGTTTTATAAAAATTACTAATCAGCGCCACAGAGTATTCAAAATATCCAGCAGCTGGAAATAAACAGCCCCCCTGGGCAGATCAAAAACCTTCCATATCTGGGTTATAATCTCCTTATGCTCTCACCAGAGAAAGATGAAACTAATGAACTCCACCATGTGCTACGCTAAAAAATTTTTTGCACCACATTTTGTAATTTTATTGGAATCATTATCTGCTGATAACCAGGATTTGAACTGCAGATCTGTTAGCCATGAGCCTAAAAAAGAGCAATGCCTCAATTTCTTATGTTTTTTGCCAGGAGGCTCAGGCGGTTTATTGCCGGGATGCTCAGTCTGTGCTGGATCACGTACCTAGTATGTGATCCACCCTTCTAGGTTGGGGGTACGCACGCAAGCATGCGCTGCCCCGGCTGTTCTATGATTCGGCACAGCATAAGTCGATCAGAAGGTCCCAGCCAATGATTGATGGCTGGGACCTGCTGATTGGCTTAGCGAATCACAGAACAGTCCCCAGTGTTAATAAACAATACTGGAACTGTACAATGAGGAGCGATCTTGCTTGTCTTTTTTTCCTGCAAAGCACAATTAATACAGTGGCAGTGTATAGTATTGGCACTGATCACTGTATTAGTGTCACTATTGATGCCAGTTTTAGTTAGTCAGTTAGTGTACCCCCCCAGTCAGCATTAGCTAGTTTCATTTTGCCTGACACACTATCACAGTCCCACTATTAACTGCTGATTGCCACCATTACTAGTATAAAAAAAAATAAATAAAAAATTCCAGTATATATACCATAGTTTGTAGACATTCTAACTTTCCTGCAAAGCAAATAGTATACACTTATTTTTTTTTTTAAAGACATGTAGCAGAATATATTTTAGCCTAAATCTATGGAGAAAGGTTATTTTTGAAAATGTTTAATTGGATAAAATAAGATGTCTGTGTGACAAAAGTCAGGAAAGCTATAGGTGTTAATGATCTTTTGGAACTTTGTGAGAAATGTCATAAAACGTATTACCTGCAATTAGAGATGCATCATGTATGAAGATTAGTTTGGAGTCTTGGAAAGTGTCTAAAAAAAGAAAGAAGAAAAATCATGTTGTCTGTGTTCCCAACTTGCCTTATAGAGTAGACTGAAAAGATGATCAGGTTGTCTAATCTTGTGGTGGTGGCTGAAGAGCCATACAGCTGAGTTCTCAACACTGTTGACGGTTTTCTAAGAAAGAAAGAAAAATTAATCAGATTGCTGTGACATCAGTGACAGTCCCCAAGTTCTCTCCAACACACAAAGTAGACACTAAAAAAAACAATGGCTTCCAAAAATGACACACTTACCAGAGGTCAGAGTTCCAATAAGAGGAAGCTGGAAGCAGTTCCAGTGGCTGGTCAATAGCAGTGGCGTGATTGTGAGTCCAGGAGAAATTAACAGCACAAAGAGGGAGAAGGGTGCTTGTAGGAAAACAGATGATCTTGTATTTGCCGCAGTTCACTTGATCCAAGGAGGGCAGCAGGCAGCAGGCAGCAGGCAAGGATTTGGTGGCAGTGGTGGAACAGGCTGGTCAAAGCAGTGACATGATAGGGAGTCCAGGAAGAACCAACCTAATGTCACAAAGTGGGAGAAGTGGAAAACCAAACATGGGACTATAACAGATAATTTTTTGAAACAGCACATGACTGAATGGTCCGGCCCGGTGCGTCCATCCCAACTCCTGGGATGGAAATTGCGACTAGCAGGAAATGGCATGCCGGGTGTGGTTTTTATGCATGCCCAATGCATCATGTGCTATGATGTCATGCATTGCCCAAAGCACACAAGCGGACCCCCTCTACTTCCGCAGGCGCACCGAAGATTGGCAAATGGCATTCGGATCTGAGCATGTGCTGTTCCAAAGTCGTCCAAAAGCCATTTTGTATAGCAACCGCTGTCTGTAACAGACATTTATGGACAGCTTGTAAATCAGCCAATATTTACAAACTGTCTGAAATTTTAGGAATGGTTGGCAACCCTGGTACCGTGGGACAGGTAGTCTTTAGAAATTAAAGTAATCAGCTGAGGAAAAGATGCAAAGCATGCAGGAAGTCCAGGAAGCTTATTGGATTGTAAAATATAACTATTGTTTGTGTTATATTTGCAATGCTGATGTTATAAAACAGTAGTCTCCAAACTGTGACCTGAGGGCCAGATGTGGCATTTTACCTGCCTTTATCCTGCCCATAAGACGCTATTCCTCCCACTGATATGAGGCACTATTTCTTCCACTGATGCCAGCAGTTGAACATAATTCCTCTGTCTGACAACAACAATAGGACACTAATTTTCCCACTGACACCAATGATGGGGAAAACCCTCTCTTTTTGACACCAAAAAATGGGTCACTATTCCTTCCACTGACAATAATAATGGGGCACTATTCCTTCCACTGACTCCAACAGTGGGGCATGATTCCTTCCACTGACACCAACAGTACAGCATAATTCTTCCACTGACACCAACAGAGTGGTATAATTCCTTTCACTGACACCAACATTGGGGCATAATTCCTTCCACTGACACCAACAATGCAGCACTCTG